TTAAAATATACCAACGACCTAGCACTACAACTTAACAGAGCCCAAATTTTAATTTTTGTTTTTAATTTTTTTTTGTTGAAGTTTATCTTATAGTGTACGGTAATGATAGGGCATGTACTGTGATACATTTTAATGTCATGAGACATTAAACATAAAATCTGAACTTTCGGCTCTGTTAAGTTGGAGAGCTAATCAATCCCTTCATTTTGAAACCAACCCGACCTCTGTAGCGCTTAAAATGGCGAAGAGATTTGGGAAATACGAAAGTGTTAGCCATCACTGTGAAAAATCAGTAGTTTTTGAAAAAATGTTATTTTCTAAATTAGGGGATTTCCGAAAAGCCGATATTTCGTCGTAAAAACTCATCATAGAACCAATAAACTATAGTGCGTTCGATAACAGACACTTTGTTCTATCTAATGCGCTATAAATCAAAAAATCGAAAAATTTGACGAAAATTGACATTTTAGGGTGGGGGTGGGGCCTTAAAAAACATCAACCAAACGTGAGTAAATAGTACTAATTTATTCAATAATTAAAGAATTATTTTCTTTTATTTGTAGTTCAAAATGACTTTAATTAATGGACCACATCACCTTCCCAGGTCGAAGACGTACGGCCGGATCCAGTGAACTTCCAGCGCATTTCCGTGTAGCCCGCCGGAATGCGCGGGAAATCCACCGGCACATGAAAGCAGTATTCCGACCGGAACTTACACGGATTTTTTCCGTGACTTTCCTGCCATATCCAGCCGGAAACGGTGTGGAAAGCTGCCGGAGAAGTCCGACAAATTCCGGCTCGGAAACGGTTTGCTGGAAAATGCCGGATACGACTATCGTCCGTCGGGTTACTGCAAGGGGCAAAAAGCAGATTTTAAGATTGTGAAAGATTTTGAGTGATTTTAAAAGATTTTAAAAGATTTCAAAAGATTTTGAATGCCAAAATCTGCTTTTTCTGCCTTTGGTTATTGGCTCAGGATCCAGTATGCAAACTCAGATCAAAGATGTACCACAGAAAACGGATAGATCTTATGGATATTCACCGGATTTTAGAAGTAGGAACACTACACCAATTCCAGTTGCCTAGTTGGGCACTTACCATCAGAGATATTGCCAAAGTATATGTTTTCTGGATGATTTTTAATCATTATGAAAAATCGATTTTTGATTTCTCGTTAGGTCAACGTGCTATGTGTAAGAATACAGAACATGTCGTGCCCTTAGCACTTCGCGTCAGAATTGTTAGAAAGAACATGATTTTTTTTGGATGATGTTTAATCATTATGAGAAATCGATTTTTCGAGATTTCTCGCTAGGTGAACGTGCTTTGTGTCAGGACACAGAACACGTCGCGCCCGTCGTACCTAGCATCAGAATTGTCACAAAGTATATGATTTTTATGAGATTTTTCATCTCTATGAAAAACCGATTTTAAGGGAGTTCTCGTTAGGTCAACGTGGTATGTGTAAGGACACAGAACACGTCAACTGCTCCGTACTTAACATCCAAATAACTGCAAAGTATATTCTTTTTAATCCATTTCAAAATAATCACTAGGTGACTTTAGGAAAACTCGTACTCGTCACAAAATGTTAACAATAAAGACTTTGGAGACTGCCCACACAAGAGAATGCCCCTCACCTTCATGACTCAAAAACCACAATGAAATCCTTAAAATTCCTTTACCGAATTTGCTTCAGGTGAATCGCACTAAATCCTATAACGTGTAATAGTGTCAAAAATACTGAGAAAAGGCTTGAGAAAAACCCTTTACTCGATCAACCCTCATGTAAGTCGATTTAAAAGCCTGCAAAATCCAATGGTCTCAAAATCCTGAGAAAAGGCTTCGAAAATATCCATTACTCGATCGACCTTCAAGCAAGTCGAGTTAAAATCTTGTAAAATGAAATTGATTTAGAATCCTTAAAACAATCTTAAAAGCTGTTAGCGCAATCCCTGTTGGATGGATATGCGATGCATGATCGAGCTGTTTACTTATATTGTAAACGAGAAAATATTATGGTTTCTGTCACGGTCTGTGATGTGCCGTTGCTCAGATGTTTGTCATGTCTGTGATAAACCATTGTTATCGCTGTCTGTTACGTTTGTGATGTTTCCATCGTTACGTCTGTAACTGTCTGTGTGTCGAGAGAGGGGGGGGTGCAAATTTCTACCCCCATATACTTCAACGCTCCTTTTAGAACGTGTTTCATAAAAATATCCATATGACTATCTCTCAAACAAACTAGAGTCAACATAATGTCTAATACTTAAGAGAGCATCCATGAGACCATCGAGCATCGTGCTAGATATCGAAGCACTCGTCAAAATTTAGTTTTTCGATTTGATATTCTCATCTTGTTCAGCATCATCTAAAACCTCTAAATCCAAATTTTTAGAGCATTTCGTTGAGCTGGTGAAAAGTTAGCTCAATTTTACTGTCGAGCACTCACGATGATATTTGAAAAATATCATCAAAAATTGTTGATATAAAGTTGAGATTTTTTCGATGACATTAAGTTAATGAAATTTTTCGTGTAATATACCAAAAGATAGAGCATTGAAAGCTGAACAAAATTACCTATTTACAAATTATATTTTAATGTGCTGATCGAGAGTTATTTCTCAAATACTGTCTAAGATTGACAATTTTTTGAGTAAAAAATCTGTCAACTATCTTCAGTATATCATCTGCTATTCAGTCAATTCAAAAGATCCCATGTTGAATTTCACATATGTTGTACAGTTTTTTCTCCTCTACAAAATGACTAAAAAAACGTTTAAAAAAATTATGTATTGAGGCGAAAAATGGCTCACAATGTTGACCAACTGTACACCATTTTTAAGAAAAAATTATTATGAATATTTTTTTCTAATTAAAAGTAGAAGTTTGAGTTGATTATGAATTATCTAGAGTATTTTTCA